CACAAAAATAGAAGATCTAATGTTATGCATTATTGTAATAATTGTACAAATAATATCAGTGCATTCATGAACACATATTAGACCAACCAGTTGGATGCATAATGGACAAGTGACATGATTTTTTTACTCTGGAAAATCAGAAAAAATAAAATATTTCCGCTGCTCTCAGCTTAATTTCAAGCTACTTCCACTCCTCAAACCAATCATAATCATCTCTATTTCTGTAATACATCTTCCATTTTATCAAATGAGACTAAGAAACCATAAAAGCTGTCCCAAAATACAACGCAAAGTCCCTAATTTAAGCCAAAAACATGGTGGCAGTTATTTTCTCATTACACACTGCATGCTGCAGGATTGTTTTTATAAGGTGCGCACTGAATCAACCCATTCTCTCATATCTAGGCCCAAATTTACCACTCACAGCTTATCTGAGTGAGCTGAGTTCATGGCGTAGAACTACAGCACTGACAGAGTGCAAAGCCACAGAACTATGGCACTGACACTAAAGGGGTTAAATCAAGGCTTTACTACATGTTCTCTATATAATAAATTTTGCTTCATATTTGAACTCGTTTTGTGTTTCAGAAGTTGTTTAACCCTTTTAGTGTCGGTCCCGTTATTATATACGTAATGGCTTTGAAGCCAGTGTTGGTCCCATAGTACAACGTAATTAGCTCAGCTCACTCAGATAAGATGCGAGTGGTAAATCTAAGCCTAGATATGAGAGAATGGGTCTATGTGGTAAATGTACACCATATAAAAAATTCTGCAGCATGTAGTATATAATGAGAAAAAACTACAACCATATTTTTGGTTTAAAACAGCGACTTTGCAGTGTATTATCATATGGTTTTTATGGTTGTATTCTAGGTTTCTTGGTCTCATTTGATAGAATGGAAGACATTTTACAGAAACAGAATTCCTTAACAAATATTTTTTTGATAGGCTTCAGGACTAATAGCAGCTTGAAATTGAGCTCAAAGTAGTGGAAATGTTTGATTTTTGCCAATAGTATTCCAGAGTACACTTGTCTAATGTGCATCCAACCGGTCAGTCTAACATGCATTCATAAATGCGGTGACATTATTTGTACAATTATTACAATAATGCAGCAGCCTGCATAACAGTATATCTTCTATTTTTTGCATGAATAAGAATTCAAAATGAAAAGCAAGCATAATATAGGAGGGGCCTGGAGATGTGACTAAGGAACAGAGGAAATTTTTTTTCTTTGTGCCAAAAATGTCTACATTGTTTATTCTGGACTCTATTTTTAAACTGGCAATTTTTTAATCTTGTGTGAAAGTGGTCATATTTCTGATTTCTTATCACTTTACTGGGTAGTTGAAATAGGTAAGTGGGTGGTTTCTTGTACTCAATCAATAGAATAGAAGAAATACTAGCAAAATAGTTATGAGTTTGGTTGACAATGGAATTAGCTAAAAAATAGGGTGAAAAGTGGGTATAAACACTGGTGTGTAAATATTTCCGAGACGGCTAACTTTGCAAGAGCATAATTCCATGAGTTTTTCCAGCAAATTTTGTCCTTCTGGTTTCATTACCTTCGAAACAAGATTATCATTTCATAAGATAAAATAATCTGAGAGCAAGTTTGAGATCAGGGGTCTGGACCTGAAAAGATTAAATATTATTGTATCCTCATTAATATTGATAATCATAGGAAAGAACTGTCAAAAAGAGAAGAGATTTGGGTGCGAGAAATGCAGTTAGTCTGTTTTCAATAAAACATTTTTTTCTATTTTCAATTTATGGATCAGGTGCCAAGCCAATATAAAATTGCCACAGCAAAAACAAAAAAAAAAAATTCAAAATGGTTCACAAGGTACCTTTAGTAAGTGTTGCATAGTAAATATTAACTTAACTCATTATTGTTTGTCTTTCAGTTTGTCCAAATGTATTTAAATAACCCAGGTAAGTCCTAGCCTGCATAAATGTTAAAATTTCATACTTAGTAGAGTGAGAGACATTACTGCTACTTGCTGTCCACTTTTATGAAGTAGGCTACAGCACTAATAATTTTTTGAGCTTGTAGATGCCTATGTCTAGACCAACCTGAAAAGCACACTTACGGATTGAGGAAAAAATTGCACTTTTTTTTATGAGTATGGAGGACAACAAATCATGACCAGTGGCAGAGAGCATATGCATGCTATTGATGGCTTCTTTTCTTCATGTGAATGGGATAAATCTCATACACCACAGCATGTATCCACAAATACTATCACAGTATTATGTGGACACATGGACACTTGCCATAACACATGTAAATATGTAATATGTACTGGACTTGTCATAGCCAAAACACCTGATAACACATGCTACAAGACATATGCCCACCTCACATGGAATAGTCAGCAGCAGCAGAGAATTTAGCTCATAACCAAAATGACCCAGGCTTGAACAGTAGGAGCAGTGAAACATATGGACAAGTCTACTTACACCTGCTGCCCATTTACCTAGCATTAAATAGATATCGCAGAATTAATTGGCTGTCGTGGGTTACATCCTCGGGCATAGGACTTTAGACCCTGATAGATATAAGCCACAGTTTAGCTTACTCAAGTTATCCTGGGTTACTAACCCCTGGGTATTAATAATGCAAAGAAACTTTTCCTCAACACTTCACGTACAATGGTAATGTTTAGCATCATAGCCAGTGCTGTCAAACAAGCCAAATATTCCTTAGCAAATATTTTTTTATGAATATAAATTATTCATAGATTTTTACATTATACTGTAATCTATTAATTTTTCATCAAAACTAATTTAGCAACCTCGCATAACCTTGCTAAAATTTACATAATATAAAAGAGGAGGTCACTAACTTCACCCCATAGTATTACAAATAGGGTAATTAGAAAGCAATTAATGTTTACTAACCACCAAGAGCAGCATAAATGTGTGAAACTTAACCAATCTTTGTAATATTTTCTTCTATACAAACTCTTTCTAAGTTAAAAAGTTAGAAACATGATTTATTTGAAAGTTAGAGGCTTCCCATATGCCTTAATATTAACCAACCTATCTAAAGTTAGCCTAATTTGGCTAGTACATACTGTATTAATAGTTATTATTAATGAAATATTAATTTAAAATTTTGCAGTCATTTTTTTACAGAATTACTGAATAGTAAAAATAAATATATGCTCTGTTTGTCTGTCAAAATGATTGTTGTTGGAAACACGAGGCGGGACGCTGGTAAGTAATAAAAAAGGCACTAGTAGCAATGGTCCTTCATAAACAGGAACACAATCTCACCCATGGATGGGGGACCTTTTTAAGTACATAAAAAAAAGTTTAGCAACCTCATGTACTCGAGCAGCCCATCATAAATGAAGTGTTGTACTAGTAAAGGAATTCACAATAAGTTTTTTCTTTTATCAAAATTTTTTTTGCTTTATTAGCCAAGTGTGAAAGATGTGGCTAAGGATCCTAACAGTACCTCTATACGAGATGCAGCCAAACGTGACAAATGCAGCCATGAAAGGTGTAAATAAGTGTGTAGTTTACAGCTGCTTTGCTTAACAAATTTTTAATTTAATTTTTCTAATAATAATTATCAGTAGGAGATGTTATGTACAGTGGTAAGGGACAAGAGCTACATCCAGGAGTGAGTGTAGTAGCTGCTATGACAGATGTAGTCAGTTTACACCTGGCAACACAAACACATTACTTGCTACAACTGGAGAGAAGTAGCTGCTACAACAGATGTAGTCAGTTTACACCTGACAACACAAACGGTTCTTGCTACACTCACAATACACACACATGTACGTGCACACGCGTGCACACGCGTACACACATGTGCACACGCGTGCACACACACACACACACACACACACACACACACACACACACACACACACATACATACACACACACACACACACACACACACACACACACACACACACACACACACACACACACACACATGAAGCTCAATTTGGGTGTTAAAAGCCACAAAAGTAACAAAACACATATGAATGGATAAACAACAACAACCACAGTGAGTATCTATGGGTATACAACCCATCACAGTAGCAACAGTGAGTGTCTCTGGATGCACAGTCACACACAACAGTCACACTGAGAGTCTATGGATGTGAAATCACTCTCAAGTTATGTTGAGTGTTTATGGGCATATAAACACAACAGCTACTGTGTGTATGGCAGTATAACCACTCATGGCAGCCATGGTGAGCATCTATGTTGCATCTATAAAGCTGAAATTAGTTTAAATATATCACTAAGCATGCAGGCACTTGCCCCACACAAGCACAATTAGCAGAAAACACACACACACATACTCCTGGTTCATATAAACAAAACACACACACACACACATACACACAATGTACTTATTACCAGAACACAAAGACTAAAACAGGTACACCAGCAAAAAACTCTGTGATGTGTAGGGCAGCAGAGTGTGGCCTCTTGTGTGGCCCGCTGATGACCCTCACACCCAGGTGCCCATGAGGTCGTCGACCGGTCGTTGACACTCCCCTATAACACTTGGCTCATCGTCCCACATGAATATTAGTAGATAATGTGTCTTAGCAATAAGGAACTGTTTTGTCATTATTCATAAACACTACCATGTTAACTGAAAAGTTAATTGTCACAAATCTCTGAGTGAATAAGAAATACTAATACTAACAGTAGAAACTGACTGATGGAGACATAAGTGCATGTGTATCAATGAACTTGTGGATGTTAGGGTGAGTGTAAGTGTGAGTGAGTGTTGTTATATTCAGTGGAAGTGCTAAACCCATAGGGATCATACAGCACCAGGTGAATGTGAGTTAATGAGGCTTGAACCAAAGATGGGGACAGTAACTGAGACTGTGTAGCTTAAGAGCCTTTAACCAGAATGAAGGCATGTGAGTGCAGTGGAGACAACAACCGGGCGACGACTGGGCACAGCAGGCAGGACACCTCTGGTGAAGGTGCTACTTGGCTCCAGCACTCACCTGAAGTTTTGGAGAAGGAAGAGCTTGTAGGAACCTGGAGGAAGTCATTGGAGCTCCTATTAGTAGTCGGAGCTTCTCTCTCAGTAGAGGCTTGAGCAGCAGCAGCTGCAGCAGCAGCAGCAGCAGCTGCCACAACAGCAGGAGGTGGTGCTAAGGGTATTATCTCTGGGCGTGGGGAGCTGGCCACACCTGTATGTAGAGCCTTCTGCACCAGTCCTGTAAGAGATGCCAGCTGCCGTTCCATCTGCTCTACCCGCATGCTGTAGAAGGCAGACCTGCCAAGAGACCAGTCCAACATCATTACATTCAAAACTAGGCACTTTTTTACTGCTGTCTATCAACACTACTGCTCTTTATTATAATTACTACTGTCTACCATCACAGCTATCTATTCAAGAGAACTAGTCAAATACTGCAGTGTTCCAAGTAACATGTGTTCCAGTAACATGATTTCAATAAAATACGATTTTTATAATAATAATAATAATAATAATGAGAGAGTGGGTGAGATGTTATCAACAAATTTTGTTGAAAATAAGAAAAAGTTTTGGAGTGAGATTAACAAGTTAAGAAAGCCTAGAGAACAAATGGATTTGTCAGTTAAAAATAGGAGAGGAGAGTTATTAAATGGAGAGGTAGAGGTATTGGGAAGATGGAAGGAATATTTTGAGGAATTGTTAAATGTTGATGAAGATAGGGAAGCTGTGATTTCGTGTATAGGGCAAGGAGGAATAACATCTTGTAGGAGTGAGGAAGAGCCAGTTGTGAGTGTGGGGAAGTTCGTGAGGCAGTAGGTAAATGAAAGGGGGTAAGGCAGCCGGGATTGATGGGATAAAGATAGAAATGTTAAAAGCAGGTGGGGATATAGTTTTGGAGTGGTTGGTGCAATTATTTAATAAATGTATGGAAGAGGGTAAGGTACCTAGGGATTGCAGAGAGCATGCATAGTTCCTTTGTATAAAGGCAAAGGGGATAAAAGAGAGTGCAAAAATTATAGGGGGATAAGTCTGTTGAGTGTACCTGGTAAAGTGTATGGTTAGAGTTATAATTGAAAGAATTAAGAGTAAGACGGAGAATAGGATAGCAGATGAACAAGGAGGCTTTAGGAAAGGTAGGGGGTGTGTGGACCAGGTGTTTACAGTGAAACATATAAGTGAACAGTATTTAGATAAGGCTAAAGAGGTCTTTGTGGCATTTATGGATTTGGAAAAGGCGTATGACAGGGTGGATAGGGGGCAATGTGGCAGATGTTGCAAGTGTATGGTGTAGGAGGTAGGTTACTGAAAGCAGTGAAGAGTTTTTACGAGGATAGTGAGGCTCAAGTTAGAGTATGTAGGAAAGAGGGAAATTTTTTTCCCAGTAAAAGTAGGCCTTAGACAAGGATGTGTGATGTCACCGTGGTTGTTTAATATATTTATAGATGGGGTTGTAAGAGAAGTAAATGCGAGGGTCTTGGCAAGAGGCGTGGAGTTAAAAGATAAAGAATCACACACAAAGGGGGAGTTGTCACAGCTGCTCTTTGCCGATGACACTGTGCTCTTGGGAGATTCTGAAGAGAAGTTGCAGAGATTGGTGGATGAATTTGGTAGGGTGTGCAAAAGAAGAAAATTAAAGGTGAATACAGGAAAGAGTAAGGTTATGAGGATAACAAAAAGATTAGGTGATGAAGATTGAATATCAGATTGGAGGGAGAGAGTATGGAGGAGGTGAACGTATTCAGATATTTGGGAGTGGACGTGCAGCGGATGGGTCTATGAAAGATGAGGTGAATCATTAGAATTGATGAGGGGAAAAAGAGTGAGTGGTGCACTTAGGAGTCTGTGGAGACAAAGAACTTTGTCCTTGGAGGCAAAGAGGGAATGTATGAAAATATAGTTTTACCAACGCTCTTATATGGGTGTGAAGCGTGGGTGATGAATGTTGCAGCGAGGAGAAGGCTGGAGGCAGTGGAGATGTCATGTCTGAGGGCAATGTGTGGTGTGAATATAATGCAGAGAATTCGTAGTTTGGAAGTTAGGAGGAGGTGCGGGATTACCAAAACTGTTGTCCAGAGGGCTGAGGAAGGGTTGTTGAGGTGGTTCGGACATGTAGAGAGAATGGAGCGAAACAGAAGACTTCAAGAGTGTATCAGTCTGTAGTGGAAGGAAGGCGGGGTAGGGGTCGGCCTAGGAAGGGTTGGAGGGAGGGGTAAAGGAGGTTTGTGTGCGAGGGGCTTGGACTTCCAGCAGGCATGCCGTGAGCGTGTTTGATAGGAGTGAATGGAGACAAATGGTTTTTAATACTTGACGTGCTGTTGGAGTGTGAGCAAAGTAACATTTATGAAGGGATTCAGGGAAACCGGCAGGCCGGACTTGAGTCCTGGAGATGGGAAGTACAGTGCCTGCACTCTGAAGGAGGGGTGTTAATGTTGCAGTTTAAAAACTGTAGTGTAAAGCACCCTTCTGGCAAGACAGTGATGGAGTGAATGATGGTGAAAGTTTTTCTTTTTCGGGCCACCCTGCCTTGGTGGGAATCGGCCGGTGTGATAATAAAAAAAAATAAATAATATCATTATTCCTACAAGTACATGTACAAGGTATACAGGCCTAGCTGACATCAATAACATACTACTATATAGAAAGCCACTTGTTATGGAGAGCTTTTCGGGTAAATTAGGTCAGTTTTGTTCCGGGATGCAACCCACACCAGTTGACTAACACCCAGATACCCATTTTACTGATGGGGAACATAGACAACCGGTGTAAGGTAACACGCCTAATGTTTCTACTCTTGCCAGGAATCAAACCTGGACCCTCACCGTGTGAAGCAAAAGCTTTAGCCACCGGGCCACGGGGCCTGGTGGCTCAAATCACACAGAAGGAAGACCGTACAGTGTGCCATAAATTTAGGAGAAAATGTGTATCAGTCCACTTTGTTTGCCAAATGCCATCAGAATACCTAAAGTATACCTGGAGGGTGTTTAGGGGGTCAACACTCTGCAGCCCCGCAGTGGATCAGGGTCTAATAAACCAGGCTGCAACTGCTGGCCACATACAAGCTGATGTACAAACCACAGCCTGGTTGGTGAGGTACTGACTTTAGGTACCTGTCCAGCTCCCTCTTAACCCTTTGACTGTTTTGGTCGTATATATATGTCTTACGAGCCAGTGTTTCAGACGTATTAATACACATAAATTCTAGCGGCTTCAAATCAAGCAGGAGAAAGCTGGTAGGCCCACATGTGAGAGAATGGGTCTGTGTGGTCAGTGTTCACCACATAAAGAATATCCTGCAGCACGCAGTGCATAATGAGAAAAAAAATAACTGGCCATAAACCATACCCCCGGCCGGGATTGAACCCGCGGTCATAGAGTCTCAAAACTCCAGCCCGTCGCGTTAGCCACTAGACCAGCTAGCCACAATAAGATTCATCCAACTAGGTATATTTCTACACCATAGGAAAGTTAGCACAGGCACCTCTGTGACCACAAATGCAAGTTTTTACAGACGAATCTCCAGCTAGCATGGCCGTGACGAACTCTAGCTCAAGTCCCTTCACTGCCGTCAACATGACTCAAGAAATCGTAATGACATGATTGCAAATAAACCATACCCCCGGCCGGGATTGAACCCGCGGTCATAGAGTCTCAAAACTCCAGCCCGTCGCGTTAGCCACTAGACCAGCTAGCCACAATAAGATTCATCCAACTAGGTATATTTCTACACCATAGGAAAGTTAGCACAGGCACCTCTGTGACCACAAATGCAAGTTTTTACAGACGAATCTCCAGCTAGCATGGCCGTGACGAACTCTAGCTCAAGTCCCTTCACTGCCGTCAACATGACTCAAGAAATCGTAATGACACGATTGCAAATAAACCATACCCCGGCCGGGATTGAACCCGCGGTCATAGAGTCTCAAAACTCCAGCCCGTCGCGTTAGCCACTAGACCAGCTAGCCACAATAAGATTCATCCAACTAGGTATATTTCTACACCATAGGAAAGTTAGCACAGGCACCTCTGTGACCACAAATGCAAGTTTTTACAGACGAATCTCCAGCTAGCATGGCCGTGACGAACTCTAGCTCAAGTCCCTTCACTGCCGTCAACATGACTCAAGAAATCGTAATGACACGATTGCAAATAAACCATACCCCCGGCCGGGATTGAACCCGCGGTCATAGAGTCTCAAAACTCCAGCCCGTCGCGTTAGCCACTAGACCAGCTAGCCACAATAAGATTCATCCAACTAGGTATATTTCTACACCATAGGAAAGTTAGCACAGGCACCTCTGTGACCACAAATGCAAGTTTTTTACAGACGAATCTCCAGCTAGCATGGCCGTGACGAACTCTTGAGTCATGTTGACGGCAGTGAAGGGACTTGAGCTAGAGTTCGTCACGGCCATGATAGCTGGAGATTCGTCTGTAAAAACTTGCATTTGTGGTCACAGAGGTGCCTGTGCTAACTTTCCTATGGTGTAGAAATATACCTAGTTGGATGAATCTTATTGTGGCTAGCTGGTCTAGTGGCTAACGCGACGGGCTGGAGTTTTGAGACTCTATGACCGCGGGTTCAATCCCGGCCGGGGGTATGGTTTATTTGCAATCGTGTCATTACGATTTCTTGAGTCATAACTGGCCATTTTTTGGATTAAAACGCCAACTTTGAGGTGTATTTTCATATAGTATTTATCGTTGTATTCTCGTTTTTGTGGTCTCACGTGATAAAATGGAAAACATATTACAGAAATAGAGATGATTTTGATTAGTTTCACAATGAAAACGACCTTGAAATTGAGCTAGAATTAGCAGAAATGTTCGATTTTTACCAATGTTCTGGAGTAAGCAAATCACACCACATGTCCAATACACGTCAATTGGGGAGTCTAATATTCTTTCACAAGTGCACTGATATTATTTATACCATTTTTATAATAATGCAGTAGTCTGCATAACAGTACATTTTGTATTTTATGTATGAATAAAAAATAAAAATAAGAAAGCAATAGTAATATAAGAGGGGCCTAGAGACATGACTGATAACAGAGGATATGTTATTTTAGTGCCAAGAATGTCTACATTGTTTATTCTGGACCCTATTTTGAAATTGGCATCTTTTTTTAATTTGCGTGAAATTGTCCAAATTGCCAATTTCTGACCACTTTACTGGGTAGTTCAAATCGGTAAATGGGCGGTTTCTTGTACTCAACTGATAGAAAAAAACAGAGTTCTAAAGAAGTAGCTATGAGTTTGGTCAACTGGAACAACGGAATTGGCCAAAAACAGGGCTC